CCAGAAGGGTCACAGCCCTGCCAACCCATTCTAGACTTCTGACCTCCAGAACTGTAAGGTAAAAATTTTGTGTTGTTTAAGCCACTAAGTTTGTGGTAATTTGTTACAGCAGCAGTGAGAAACTACTACACCACCTAACCTGCAAGAACCAGTGAAAACCAGCTCATGCAGGATCTCTTTCCTGATTCCTCCCGCTGAATTTCACCTCTGCAGGACTGAACCTATCCCTCTTTTGGACTTCTTTTAATAACACTTACCTTACTTGATAGTATAATGTAAGCAAATGTTTGCTTCTCTTACCCCCTTTTTAGAAATAAGTAATAGAAACCCAATGAAAACTAGTTGAAGCACAAGGAGAATTTATTGAGTCATGTGAATGAAGAGTCCACAGATGGAGCTTCAGGTAAGCTTGGATTCAAGTGCTCAATGTCATCAGGCATCAGGTGCCATCTCTCGGCTCTGCTTTCTCTGAGTTGGCATCATTCCCAGGTACACTTTCCCTTTACGGTGACAATGATGATCACCAGCAGCTCTAGGCTTATATTCTACCTACTGAGCAGCTGCTGCTGAAAGATTGACCCTTTTTCAATTGTTTCAACAAAAGTTTCAGATTCTTTTTGGTCTCTCCTAGGGTATGTCCCTGTCACGGAACCAATTCCTGTGGTCAAGGGAGTGGAAGTGGCTCTAATAGGCCAGGCTGGGGTCAGAGTAAGAATGACCAGCTCATCCTGATTTGCCTGGGACTTTTCTAGTTTCAACGTTAGAAGTCCCATGCCCCAGGAAACCCCTCAATTTAGGGCAAAATGGGATAAGTGGTCACCCTAGGAGTCCATGCTGGAGACGAGAGGAGTTGTGGTCAGCCCCACCTGACGCCCATGACTAAGAAAGGGCTGATTTCCTAGAGGAACCACCAAAAGAAGGGAAAATGAATGCTGGGCAGGCAAAGAAACAGAGTGAGGTCCTCGCCATTGGCCTTTCTGGACCAGAGGCACCTTGAGGCCCTGCACCAAATCTTACAGATTTTGTATCTTTTAAAAAATTGCACATACTGTCTTCCACATAAGCCTCAAAAAAAAATTTCTACTGTTGCTTGCACAACTTTATTCAACGCTTGAAAAAACTCCCTTAGAGTGAAGAATTTGTAACACTAAATAGTTCTTGATGGTTAATACAGAATCACTTTTAACAAAAGCAGTTAAAAATAGTTTACGGTCCACTTGACTGAGATTATTTAAATAATCTTACTTTATTTTACTTACTAAAGTAATCTTACTGAAAATGGGGTGGGTAGAGAGTTTTAGTTAAATGAACTTCCAAAATTACTCAAGTACTATGATTCATAAGGTCCCTTCCCCCCTTATATTTAAGATAAAACCTGTATTATGTTTTCTTTACATTAACAGCTAATAATTATTAAAAAGTGAAACTTACCCTCGTAGTGATTTGAAATTCGAGTCACTAGTTTCAGTTTTGCTGCTGAGCTGAGCAGTGGACAGGAATTGTTTTTCTCTGGGCAGGGTGTGGCTTTTGCTCTGAAACGTTTTTCCTGTAACTTCTAACTTCTGACCCATTCCTGCCAGCAATGAGTTATGCATCCCAATTAGGAGTTTCAAAAAGAAATAATCATACAAAGAGCTATGCCTTTGATTTTGAAAACGGCATACAAATATTTTACGCTAATGAATAAATGCTAAATCTTGAATCTAGCCAATGGGGGGAAAAGGAACCTGCCAATAACATGCTGTTTCCCAACCTAACATTGGCTGTGGAGGCAAAGACTCCAGTTGTAATGAGTTTTTGTGAATTTAGCCAAGTCAATTCACTATGGGGCACAACGTTCATCTGTAAATGATGGGTTTAGACTATTGTTTCTAGCTCATTTTAACCTCTAACACAAAATGGGTTTAAACTTTATCCATACTTCTAAGATTTATATAAAATTTCTTTTTCAAAAGCTGAACTTAAAGAACAATATAAATGAATGTTATTATTTTGCCTACCTAAGTAAAACAATATTTATGTCTAAAAATCACAATGGAAATGAAGGATTTACGTTAGTTATATTTTCTTTTATGGTCATTAAATTCTTCCAATGATCCTATTGTGGACTTGCGGTGGACTTGCCACCACCCATTCCACCTCACTCCCACTGAGAGAAGAAGTGCTCTTTGGGAAAGAGAACTCAGCTCAAGACTCAGCTGGTCCACTGGGCATTCCATATTCCTTGCTGGCTTAGATTGGGCCTATGACACAATTCTAGTCAAAATGTTTGAAGGAGATGGTTTCAGGAGGCTTCAGAGACAACGAAGAAAAGACCTAGAAGTCACTTCTTTCGCCCAGTGGAAGTGAAAAGTGAATCATAGGGTTCCTGTTGCTACTGTTAGTTATCTTTACCGCTAGATGAACCAGCAGCCAACTCTGTTAACAGCCGAGTGGAGAGTTAGAAAGAACCCAGTAGGTGGTGACATTGTTAAGCTGCTAATTCAACCAGTCCTGAAGGCTGCCCTACCTCTGGACTTCCTGTTTCACAAGATTCTAAATATCCTTATTATCTAAGCCCATCCGAAAACAGGTTTTCATTTGTGGTCGAAATAGTAAATATTTGGAGGATAACAGAAGCTGGGTGCCAAAAGATCCTTATGAATCATTTTGTCCTTTTGGCCTTGATCCCATTATCTTACGGAGGAGGAGAGCAGACTGCACAGGACTCCCTGGTCTGAGCCAGCCTTGCGGGCACTGGCAGCGGCAATGGACGAAGGGAGCCCTTCTCTTCTGATGTCCATCCAGCTGCGTCTCCACCACACGTCTGACCCCTAAGGCATCAGTTTCATCTATTCTGTAAGCAGTCACGCACCTAGTGAATGAACAAAAAGGATATGCGTGATCATATGCCCCAAATGCCAGAAAATTGAGGTTCTGCTATATGGGACATTAAATCTCCCCAGAATTCAGGCTTCCTCTGACCATTATTCAGGTTGGGGAACATTTTTCTGGCCATAGTGATGATCATTGCTAACACTTACCGTGCGTCAGACACCGTGCTGAGTAATTCGCCTGCTTTATCTCGTTTATTTGACGACAACCCTCAGAGGCTGGGGCTGTACTAGAGTACCTGTTTTGTAAACGAGGAAATGGAGGCTCAAATAGGTTGAGAGACTGGCCCAAGAGTGCTCAGCTACCGAGTGGCAGAGTGAGTACTGCACTTATTTACTTATTTATTTATTTTTTACTTTTGCTGAGAAAGATTCGTCCTGAGCTAACTAACATCCGTGCCAATCTTCCTCTATTTCTTTTTGGTTTGTGGGCTGCCAGCACAGCATGGCCACTAACAGAGCGGTGTAGGTCTGTTCCTGGGAACTGAACCTGGGCCACCAAAGCAGAGCATGCTGAACTCAACCACTAGTGGTCACCAGGGCTGGCCCAGTACTGTATTTAAATTCAGGTCTGGCAGAGTCTAGGCACTGAACTACACGCCTCTGCCTGACTTCTGGCTCTGACAGCCCAAGGATCTAAGATGCCCAAATTCACCAATGCACAGGCCAGCCTCGAGGTTTGAAACTGGAATTATGAAGGTACAAACTAATAATCGACAGAATACACCCGGCCTCAAATTGTCTGTGAAGCTGCTTTTGGACTCTGGGGTCTTGGTAATGGCTATACTCTAAAGCTCAGACCTTGATTTCTAAGGTCCACTGTTGCAGGTTACTAATCCAGGTACGGAGTTTACATCTATTAAATCCTTAAAACCTGAGAATATTACATATGACTAGTACTCTTTTTTTTTTTTTTTTTGAGGAAGATCAGCCCTGAGCTAACATCCGCCACCAATCCTCTTTTTGGTGAGGAAGATCGGCCCTGAGCTAACATCTGTGCCCATCTTCCTCTATTTTATATGTGGAACGCCTGCCCCAGCATGGCTTGAGAAGCAGTGCCTAGGCCCACACCAGGGATCCGAACCACAAACCCTGGGCCACAGAAAAGGAGTGTGGGAACTTAACCACTATGCCACCAGGCTGGCCCCGTGACTAGTATTCTTAAATTCATTTAATTGTATGTTTTTAAGCACCAGCTGGAGCTACATTAGCTAAACGAAAGAAAATATCCTCTTGGAGTTTGCATTCTAACGAGGTGGGGGTGGGGAGGGCAATGAATCCAGAGCACCATAGAACGTTCCATTAAATTCAATCATCATTTCGCGATTTTTTTTCTATACCGTGTTCTGTTTGGCAGGGAAGATACAAACAGGAAAAAGACACTATCCTTTCTTTGCCAAGTCTGCCTGAGTAACCCAAGTGTTAACAAATAAATCCACTTCTGTTCGGTAATATCTCTTCCTCCTAGTAAGTTTAAAGTTACATTCAACTGTTTGGCTAAGCTTCCACTTAAAGGCAGGAGCACAGTCCCACACGCGTCTGTCCAAAGAAGTGGCCATTTCTGGGTTGGTACCCATTACGAATTCCCTATTGCAAGCACTGTATTTCTTGTAACCTCATCTGTAAACTGCCCAGCACTCAACTTGGCCTGTAAAGGCGCTCACTTCTCCTCTAAGACAGATATTGCTTTGGAAGAATCATCGTCTATTTATCCCAACTCACGGGAACTGCCTGAAGCTGCTCTAGACTTGCGTCGGCCCCTGGGGCAGCCAAAGTCGATTTTCCCCCGCGGACACCTAAGCCGCCAAGTGCACATTAACCAGGGGCCATAGCGGCGCGGCAGTAGGCCACCGGCTTGGCAATAGCCAGGGCCTTTCTGGGACTCACTTGGTTTCAGGTCCCCTGAAGGGCACCCAGCCCGGGGACGATATTAAAAGGGCGTGGGAGGAGAGAGGAAAGAACCTCTCCTAGATCCAATTCGACCCTACCAGGGCGGCTGTCTCCAGGTGGTACCCGAATCGAACCAATCGGAGAGGGAGTTACATTTAATGCGGCTCCGCCAGCCAATCCGAGGACACGTCTCAGACGCCGGCGCGCGCTGGGGCCCCGCCGGCTGGCAGCCTGAGCAGCGGTGGCGCGCCGGGCAGCTGCGCACCCCCAGGAGCGCCCGCGCAGCGCGGATCTTTGGGCGGTGGGGGCTCTTCGCCGCGCCCGAGCGCCCGCCATTGCGCAGGCGCCATAGGAAGAGCCGCACCTCGCAGCTGTACGTTTGGGTCTCCGCGCCCCCGGGACCCACGCGCGTCGGGTTCCGCGCGCTGGCGAGACGCGGCGGCGGCGGTGGCAGGTGAGTGTGAGGCTCGCGCGCCAGGCGTTCTGGAGGGAGGTGCCACCCTCTGCTCCGTTCCCAGGGGCGTTGACAGTAGAGGTGGTGAGAAACACCCCCTCCCCAGCACACACCTCCCTGGGGGCGCTGGCGGGGACCTCCGCGAAGGGGCCCGGAGGGCAGGGAGGTGCCAGCCGCCCGGGCGGAGGGCGGCGTGGAGGAGGCAGGCAGTGAGGCAGGTGTTCTTGGCCGGGCCGGCTGCCGGGGGCAGAACAGGGGAGGGGGCCGGAGGGGGAGGGGGGCTCGGGGGAGGCGGGAGGTGGGGCGGGCGCTGGATTCGAGAGGAGCGCGGGGAAGGCACCGACGCGCATCTGTCTGGATGTTGGAGTTTATGGTAATTATGTAACCAGATTTAAAAACTCATTTCCTGGAAAACCAAACCCTAAAGCCAACCTTGCAGTGCCTTTTATGGGCTGGACACTGGGTTCAGTGGGCACTGCACAACAAGGCTTCCTTTCCCGGCACGGCCGCCCTGGGTAACAGCGTCCCATTGTGCGGATGAGGAGCGCCGGGCGCGGAGCGGGGGCGGGGGGACAGGTCCAAGTCTGTGCAGCTGGAGACAGGCAGATTCGGGTTTCTACCAGAAATGACCCCAGGACGGTTTTACTTAACCACCGGGCGGTCTGGTGGACCGCAGCCTGAAAACTTGCCAAGTGCCCTCGGAAGTCAGCTGTTCCTTTCAATGCTGTGGTTTTCTTTTCTTCCTTCCCTTTATCCAGAGGTTGTCCCAGGTTATTTCAGGGAAATTTACTTAATATAAATAAAATATCTCTTTCTTCCTTTTAAATTAGGTACAAAATATAATTTGGGAGAAATTTTGATGAAAATGCTAGAGTACCTACGGGGGTTATTTTACTACGTGCAAAGTAAGGTAAGGGGAGCTGTTTTGAAGAGCCTTGCTAGCCAGTTTTGTGTGCGCTGGAAAATTGGAGAATAATTTAGAATCCTGGAATTTTTAAGACCGAGAAAGTCTTTTAGCGAGCTGTTATATTTTTTTCCTTAGAGTATTAAGAAAATAACTCATAATAATCTAAAGGAAACCACCTAAGTCATCTGTGTGCATCGACAATAATGCTATTTTAAAGCTGCATATGAGTTTCATTACAAATAATATTTGTGAAGTACTTGCAATACAGTTTTTGTTATTATGGAGCAGATGGCATGTTAATGGTGGCAAATATCTTTCACCATATCCTGTAACTGTTTTACTCTTCCAGCTTCACAGGGGCGAAGGATGCCAGTCGGAATTGCCTGATGTGCATTCTGTACACTAAGAAAGTCATCCCACACGACGTAGAGTGTGTTTTGTCCTCTGAACTGAAGACTGGTTGCTACTGGTCGCTGTGGGGATATTTGGGTGTAGACTAGACAAGTCTGCTGCTTTTTTTTTCTTTGATTTTTTTTGGTTTGAAAAATTACAGAATTTCTCCCGATGTTTTGTAATATAACAATTAGTGGTTTTCATTCCTTGAAAACTACTTGAGAACTTCTCACTGGTGTTTTATTTGTCACTTAACACTCCCTGTTAGAATGAAACAGAGTGTGTTAGACGTAGATACAGGCACTGCTAATGAAACACGTTCTGGCGGGAAAAGTAACCTTAATAGTTTGGAGGTTATTGCCAAACTTGTCAACTTGCTGTTACTAGACTTGTAAACTTGCGGAGGACATGAAATTAATAAGTACACAGTAAAGTGAATAATTGGTTTCTGAGCTTGGCCAATCACTAAACTTCAGCTTCATCCTATATAAAAAGAAAGGATTAGACTAAATTATTTCTCCTTATTTTATAGTTTCACCGTAATATCATTCTGCCTGTCATTGTACAGACTTTTTCCTAACATACCAGCTTTGTAACTAGAATGGGTAAAAGGAAACTAAATTTGAGAGCCTGTTCTTAACACTTTATGCGTCCCCGTTTTACAGTACACACAAAGAAACTGAAACTGGGAGAGCCAGATCTGCCCAAGATCGCCCGCCTGCTGAGTGTGAGCTGAAGTTCTGGGATCTGTCTGATTTCAGAGCCTGTCATCTTTGTGCTTTGTCTGAGCTTCTAATCTTGGGGACAAGGAGGGGGGGCGCTTGGATCCTAGCAGCGTGCTAAGGGATTACTGAACCCCAGATAAAAGCACATGTACCTTGAGCATCCTTTTCACTCAATATTTGGGGAAGAAAGCTTTTGATTTGGATGTGTTTTGTGAGAAAGGGGAGCAGACACAGGTTTTTGCTTCCTGTTGTTTTGCATATGGGAAGCGGTGTAATATATTTTCACATTCAAACACCCAGGTCTGTGTTATGATAGAGTATCAGTTTCACATAATTTTTGAGGTAAAATGAGACATCAAAGATGTTTCCTGTCTTGTGGCAGGGCATTTCAGATGCTTTTAAGATTACAATTTCATTTCCCTCCACTCTTTTTTTTTTTTAACATAATAGTTTTTTTTTTAATCTTTTTTTTTTCTGCTTTTTCTCCCCAAATCCCCCTGGTACATAGTTGTATATCTTAGTTGCAGGTCCTTCCAGTTGTGGCATGTGGGACGCCGCCTCACCGTGGCCTGATGAGTGGTGCCATGTCTGCACCCAGGATGTGAACTGGCAAAACCTTGGGCTGCTGCAGCGGAACGCACGAACTTAACCACTTGGCCACGGGGCTGGACCCTCATATAGTAGTTTTATTGAGATATAATTCACATACTCTTCAGTTCACTCATTTAAAGTGTACAATTTTATGGAGTTGTGCCACCATCACTAATCAATTTGAGAATATTTTCATCACCCCCAAAGGAAACCTCATACCCATGGGCATTTACTCCTCGTTTCTCCTTAATACTTGCCCCAGGCAACTCCTAATATACTTTTCATCTCCGTAGGTTTGCCTATTCTAAGCATTTTGTCTAAATAGAATCGTCCAATAAATGATCTTTTGTGACTGCCTTCTTTCACTTAGCATAACGTTTCAAGGTTTATCCAAGTTGTAGCCTATTTGAGTACTTCATTCCTTTTAATTGCCAAATAATGTTCCCTTGTATGGATATACCACATTTATTTATCCATTTATCACCTGATGGATATTTGAGTTGTTTCCTCTTCTTGCTTCTTAGTGATAATGCTGCTGTGAACATTTGTGCACAAGTTTTAGCATGGACATATGTTTTCGTTTCTCTGGGGCATATACCTAGTAGTAGAATTGCTGGGTCATATGTTAACTCTTAAACTTTTGAAGAACTGACAGAATGTTTTCCCAGCAGCTGCACCATTTTACACCCCCACCAGCAGTGTCTAAAAGTTCCACTTTCTTTCTATCTTTCCCAACACTTGCCTATCTTTTTCATTATATCTATCTTAGTGGGTGTGAGGTGGTATCTCATGGTTTTGATTTGCTTTTCCCTGATGACTAAAGATGCTGAGCATCTTTTCGTGTTCTTCTTGGCCATTTTTATATCTTTGAAGAAATGTCTTTTCAGATCCTTTGCTCATTTTTTAATTGAGTTTGACTTTTTATTATTGAGTTGTTATAAAGAATATCTATTCTTTATATATTCTAGATGTAAATCCCCTTATCAGATATATGATTTGCAAATCTTTTCTCCCATTCCATGGGTTGTCTTTTCTCTTTCTTCATGATATCCTTTGAAACACAAAAGTTTTTTATTTTAAGTTCAGTTTCTTTCTTTTTTTGGTCACTCGTGCTTTTGGTGCTGTATCTAAGAAGACTTTTCTAACCCAAGGTCCTAAAGATTTACTTCTATATTTTCGTCTAAGAGTTTTATAGTTGTAGCTCCTAATTTTGGTCTGTGATCCATTTTGAGTTAATTTTTGTGTATGCAATGAGATGAGGGGTCCAAATTCATTCTTTTGCATGTGGATATCCAGTTGTCCTGGCACCATTTGTTGAAATGTCTTGGCACCCCTCTGTTCTTAGAGGCAACTCTGTTGGAAAAGTTGTAGACATACTGTGATATTCCATTTGTGGTAATTTATCAAAGGGCTTAGTTTTCAAAACAATACTTCATGGTGTGTGGATCTCAAGCGCAGCATTACAAAGAAGTTTTGGCATGTAGAACAAAGTTCATTCAAGCTTGTCTTTGTTCTTCCAAGATGACAGCCTGATTCATTACTTTGTTTATGCCCTTATTTTGAGTATAATATATATGAAAAGTATAAGGCCTTTGTCCTCTGATAAATGGCACATACATACATTTTTGTGGTATAGACCTAGTTATATTAGATATTCATTGAATGATTTTTTAAAAATGACCAAGGGGCTGGCCTGGTGGCCTAGTGGTTGGGTTTGCATGCTGTGCTCTGGTGGCCCAGGGTTTGCAGGTTCAGATCCCGGGTCCAGACCTACAGACTGCTCATCAAGCCATGCTGTGGCAGCATCCGTTATAGAAAATAGAGGAAGATTGGCACAGATGTTAGCTCAGGGACAATCTTCCTCAAGCAAAAACGAGGAAGATTGTCAACAGATGTTAACTCAGGGCTGATCTTCCTCAGCAAAAAATAAGTAAATAAGTAAAATTGCAGGCCCCTGGCCTCTACTCTAGACTGACTGAAGCAGAATTTCCTAGATGTAGAGACTAGACAGCTACACATTTACAAGCCCCCCTCAGTGATTCTTCTGTCTACTACGATGTAGTAGCTGATATGAAGATGGAGTTGACTAGGCTGGCAACTGCTGGTGTCCTCAGGACTTCTGTATGTGCCTGAGAGAATGGTGAGGCTGTGTTAAAGGATTCGGCAGCTAAGGAAAGGGAGAGATTTGGAGGTGCAAAGAATGCATTGTTTGACGCGTGTCAGACTTGACTTGCCAGCAGAATAGTTTGTGCAGTGGGATTGCTTGGGAATCTAGACTGGTTACCCAGGGAAGGAGCCAGGGCAGTAAATAAAGCATGGGTTTTTAAAAATAGATTTATGGGTATCTTTAAGATACTGTGCCACTTATTTGCTGTTTTAGTCTACTCTGTTACTGGAAACAAATAGGTGGTTATGAGGAAATAGCTGTACTCGGAGAGAAACCAGGGACCCTGCTCAGTGAAGCTTTCATGGAGACCTGTGTGCCCCCACACAGGTTCTTAGATGGCTGGAGCCCCGGGCAGCAGCCTGACCCCACTGTTGTCTGACTGAACCCAGCCACGACTGTCTGAGCGGGGAGATGATTGTGCCGAAACACTAGGTCAGGGGGCACCACAGACCGAATGAAAAGAGATGTACTGCTGTCTAGATTCTCGACAGCTGGAATTGGTAAGATGTGCTGGGGCTGCGTCTGTGCAAAGTATGTCTCTTGTACTAATCAGAATTGTTACTCTTTTCTTTGGAGAAGTGGTTTGATTTTGTTATTCGTACTGTTTTTGGTTTCTTGGATGATCCACGCACCCCATTCAGAAGGCATCCCATCTCAGGTTAGAATGATAGAGGCTTTCCAGACCCAGAGATCCTCACAAACAAGATTCTGTGCCTTTGGTCTTCAAAATTTTAAGTCCTTGGTTTTCCAAGAGTCACAGCTTCCATCAGTAAGTATTTGAGTGACAGCACGTCCACAGATCAACTAGGTAGTATGTTTGAAAGGAGGGAAGTCTCTGCCTTCAAGTAATTGCAGTCTAGTTGGGAGAAGGAAGAACACACAATACGTGACTCCTGGTCACAGTAGTTAGCTCGCTGCGGTTTGCACCTGGGACCTTTCGGTGCATACCGCTGTGGCCGTACCTCGGGGCTTGTTACTCTGAAATAACGAATTCACACACCACACTCTGACCAAAACCCCACGTCCTTGCAGCTTGCAAGGAAAGATACCTTTACAACACCAGTTCTTTAACTTCATCAAAACCTCCAGTCTGAAACCTCTTTACTTCTTGCATCTGTATCAGTTCCAGTTGAGGTTCTGCAGCCCAGATTTCAGCCGCTCTTCCAGTACCTTCAACTTGCTTAGTCACACTTCAGTTTCTGGCAGAATCAAAAGCCCAGGTAGGGTCAGCTGCCTGTTTCATTCATGGCTGAGCCAGGGCCACTGAATTGCTAGAGAAAACCAGTCAGCAGTGTCACTGTAGAAATTCATGGCATCCACTGTCAACACGGGCCACCAATCCTAATGTTTCCTTGTACTCTCTCCCATTCTCCACTGGTGGCCATTTCAGACATTGTGTTCCTCAAACCTGCAAACCGTTTAACACCCTGCTCCTCGGTGATTGACCTTAACTCTTGGGACACAAAGAGTGCAGCTCCCTTCACCTCCGGCCCTCAGACCTGTTAACTTACTCCTTTCTTCTCCTCCCCCGTTAAAATGGAAGAGGTGTACCCATGCACAGTGAATCATTCTGCATAAATCACATATCCTGCTTTCTTAGCAACCAAAGATAGAGCCTGAAGGTAGGGAGATTTATTAGGGGAATGCTGTTTTTGTGGTCAGTGGATTATTAAAAAAAGAATGAAAAATCAGCGAGCGCTCTGAGCCTGGGGTATTAGGTAGGATAGTTGTGTCTTTGAAACTAAAAGGAAAGTTTAAGAGAGATGCGGTGGTGAAATTCATTTCTGCAGCTGTTGGTTTTTTTGGAAGGTAAGCCCTTTGAGTTTTAGGCTGTTGCTAGTAGTATCCTGACAAGTCATTTTGTTGTGGGCGATGACTTTGTTATGGGTAATACTTGGCGTCCACGTCCCTGTAGGCTTTGTCTGTTTGTCAGCCTCATGTGAATGTTGGGCAGCCACAGATTGAGGTGGGACCTTTCTCTCAAATAGTATTTATTTTTTCCTCCCCTTTTTTATGCCAGTATTTTTCAGCAAGAACTGGTGATGAGCCAGTATGGTAAAATTTCCACCACCTATTTCTGTGGGTTAAAAGGAACTATAGGGTACCAGTCATTAAACTAGAAAAATAATCTCCCTCTCTAGGATCTCTGAGAGCTTGGCATTATTTCTGTTTTGTGCAAACGGATCACTTTTATTTCTTCATCTGTTCTTATTAAACTTTTAAATAATTGCTGCTGCTGCAGACAAGCAAGGCAGCCCAACAGGACTATTTATGTGGATATAAGAATGGTCTGCTTCCCCTTCGGAGCGTGAAGGATGGGGCAGGACATACAGCAAGAGGAAATTGGACAGATGGAGGCAATTTTTATTTTTTCCAATTTTAGCTTCATTTAGTTATTGATGCGGGATCGGTGAGCCGAGGAGTCGAAAGAAAGATTTCTTAGACTCTCAAGATCTGGCAGTAGAGCTCTTTTATTTAGAAAATAGTGTGGAATAGCATGGGGACAGGACCCATGGGCAGTCAGAGCTTCTGCTGCCGCCGCTTCTGCTGCCCCCGCTGGCATGGGGACAGAGCCCATGGGCAGGCAGAGCTGCTGCTGCTGCCCCCGCTGGCATGGGGACAGAGCCCATGGGCAGGCAGAGCTGCTGCTGCTGCCCCCGCTGGCATGGGGACAGGACCCATGGGCAGGCAGAGCTGGTGCGTGGGGACAGGACCCACGGGCAGTCAGAGCTCCTGCTGCTGCTGCCAGTTGAGGGTGAGAGCTAAATTTAAGGCATAGGTATGTGAGTTATCTCTTTACAAGACAAAGAATATGTAAAAAAGTTAAAATGGTAGATAAGAATCAAACCGGATTGAGTAAATGGCAGAAGTCACCGCTTGAATTTCATCCTCGGCTAAAGACAAAGGAGGATTTGTGGGGGGGGAGGGTCAGTTACATGAGGTTGCCAGACAGTAACCAACTTAAGTTCTTGCCTCTGGCATTGACCAAGAGCCTCTAGAGATAAGACCATCCCCCCCTCTTCCTGGCACAGAGAGGGAGGCATCTTCACAGATAGAGGTTTCCCTTAGAAATGTAAATGTTTCCCAACAAAGGGGCAAACAAATTCCACTCCTTGGAGCCTGAATCTCATCTGTAGTTTTAAAACTAACCAGCCTAAAAATCCTCATCAGTTATCATTCCATAAATGACATTATTTAATTTTTAAGTTGATAGAGGTAAAGCTGGTATATAAAAAGTTTATAGTAAATGTCAGTTCTCTTCTCCCAATGGCTAAACTTTTGAAACCTAATCCAAATCAAATAACGTTAGTACTTATGAATTGTGCCTTTTATTTTAGGAACCCTGATTGCCGTCCTTCAGTACCTTCGGCATGAAGTTATTAGTAATACTTTTATTTTCTGGACTTATACTTGGCTGTAGAGGTAACTCTTCCTATAGTTTGCCACCCAAGTTACTGCTGGTGTCCTTTGATGGCTTCAGAGCTGACTATCTACAGAACTATGAATTTCCGCATCTCCAGAATTTTATCAAAGAAGGTGTCTTGGTAGAGCGTGTGAAAAATGTTTTTATCACAAAAACATTTCCAAACCACTACAGTATTGTGACAGGCTTGTATGAAGAAAGCCATGGCATTGTGGCTAATTCCATGTATGATGTAATTACAAAGAGACATTTTTCTGACTTGAATGACAAGGATCCTTTTTGGTGGAACGAGGCAGTGCCTATCTGGGTGACAAATCAGCTCCAAGGAAACAGGTCCAGTGCTGCTGCCATGTGGCCTGGCACCGATGTGCCCATTCACAACACCACACCTTCCTACTTTATGAATTATAGCTCCTCAGTGTCATTTGAGGAGAGACTAAACAATATTACTGTGTGGCTGAGCAATTCGAACCCACCAGTCACCTTTGCAACACTCTATTGGGAAGAACCAGACGCAAGTGGCCACAGATATGGACCTGAAGATAAAGAAAACATGCGCAGGGTGCTGAAAGGAATAGATGACCTCGTCGGTGACCTAGTCTACAAACTCAAGACGTTAGGATTGTGGGAAAATCTTAATGTGATCATTACAAGTGATCATGGGATGACCCAGTGTTCTCAGGACAGACTGATAAACTTGGATTCCTGCATCCGTCGTTCAGACTACACTGTGATAGATTGGACCCCAGTTGCTGCCGTACTTCCCAAAATAAGTAAGGAAACTTTTAGCTGAGGGATATTTGAATGGGGAATCGATTGAGGAGGGAGGGTTTTACAAAAGAACGAAGCTCTGGTTTTTAGTAGCTCAGGACCTTGTATGCTTACTCAGGGTTGGGTTTTCCCCCCTCATTTACAAGTTTTTAAGCAATTAGCTTGAAGTTTCAGTTCAGAGTGATTATTTTCTTGCTTTTTGAAATATTTCTTAATTATTCACACTAATGGAAAAAGGAAATTTTTATCCTTCAAAAACATGTTGGATTTTTGTGTGAGATACACCTTCTGTCTCCTGATCCTAGAATTAGCAGTAATATGTAATTAGTTTCTATTTACTTAGTAAGCTAGACATGAAAATTGTCCACTTTGTGTAAAAGTCCACCAGGGATAATCAAAATGAAAAAAGAGATAGGTGAATGCTTGAAGAGGTATGTCTGTCTGTGTATGTATCAGTCCCCACACTGTCACATAGTTATTGCTCTTTTTTTAAGAATTAAGTGATTTAATAAATATTGTTCAGGCTTTACATCGTTATTCCAGATAGAGATATTTTTTCCTTATCAGTCAACCGTGACTTTTCCCTTTGTTGTTTCATTTTTCTTCCAGATAGAACTGAGGTTTATAACACACTGAAAACCTGTCACCCTCACCTGAATGTTTATCTCAAAGAAGAGATTCCTGCGAGATTTCATTACCAACATAACGATCGAATTCCGCCTCTTATTTTGGTTGCTGATGAAGGCTGGACGATTGGGCGAAATAAATCATCATCAAAATGTAAGTATTTATTTAGGATATTTCTGTCATGCCCTAGAGCTAAATCACACATTGTGACATTGTTCTGTTAATAGGGCGCTTTGATTTAGAGATATTGACACAGTATAATTCAGTTTTCAACTAGATAATTCTCAGGTTTTCATTCCATTTTCAGGTTTTCACTGGATAGCAATTTGCAGTGGCCACAGTTTGCCCCTTGGATTAGAGGCTGGGGACCTGGAGAGTGAAGTGTAGGTTTCCTTTCTTACCAACACTGCAATCACTACCAGTGACTTTCAAGAGCGGTTCTCTTGATTTGTAGAAAAGAAGAGAGAAGTAAAGAAACAAAGAAAATAAAAGAAAGAGAAGTATAGAAACACAATAAAAGGGGAGAGAGTAGCTAGTTCAAATTCCTTTTTATTTTTGAGTGTTAAAAAAAGTTTGTCTAGGGGCCGGCCCAGTGGCGCAGTGGTTAAGTGCACACATTCCGCTTCAGTGGCCCAGGGTTTGCCGGATCGGATCCCGGGTGCGGACATGGCACCACTTGTCACGCCATGCTGTGGTGGGCGTCCCACATATAAAGTAGAGGAAGAAAGGCAGGGATGTTAGCTTAGGGCTGATCTCCCTCAAAAAAAAAAAAAAAGGTTTGTCTAAGTAACCCTAAGCCTTTCCCCGTTTTACATGAATGCTCCAGCTGTTTAGAACACTGGGCAAGGACCAGCAAGTGAACAAAGAAAAGTCTACCGAGTAGACAAAATAATTGCATCTCCTGCATACAGAGAGAGCTGTCTCTCCTAAGACTGAGGAGCTGCGTAGGGGAGAGTTACACGTCTTCCCGGAACTGAAGTTTATTTATCCATGTGTTAAATTCAGTTTGAATACTTTTTCTAAAAATCTGGTTTTGTAGTCTATTACAGGGATGAGAAAACTTTTTCTCTAAAAGGCCAGATAGTCAATATTTTAGGCTTCGTGGGCCAGCTGGACTCTGTCTAAGCTCCTCCGCTCTGCCTTGATGGTGTGGAAGCTGCCACAGGCAATATCAAAACACATGGACGTGGGGGCTTCCAGTGAGACTTTGCACAGAGACCGGTGGAGAGCTGAATCTGGCCGGGGCCTGTGGTCTGCAGATCCCCGATCTGTAGCAGTTCAGAAGCAGCAGGCAAGGAACAGATGAAGAGTTTATATTTTACTGATACTTATGCTATATGTTCCTTGTTGAAAACTTGGAAGATACTGAAAAGTTTAGAAAAGAGAACAAAAACTATCCATAATTTCTCAATACAGAGGTACAGACAAATGTTAATTGTGGGAATTTTCCCCCTTCTAATCTTTTTTTTCTGTTACATATACTTGCATATTTTTACTTTATTGAAATTATAATACCTGTATATAGTGTTATATTCTGCTTTTTATTATATTGGTCACTTGCATTATTTTTATTATGAAATATTTCAAACATGCAATTAAAGAGTAATATAACAAACATTGATAGACTCATCTCAGTCACCTGCACTTCGTATGAAAGTGGGAGCTTATTAAATGCAACTGGTGTGCCTTAAAAGGCGATATTTGTTAAAATAAGGCTACAAATTGAGAATCTGGTATTGGAGTTGTATCAGGGACCATCACTTTTTTCTGTGAGTCAGACTTTTACTGGAGTTACCGGTTGGAGTCATCTGGTTAGACTTCTTCACATTCAGTGCAAAAGTCCCTTCTGTAACATTCTCCCTTACCTGGCCCTCCAGCTACTGAGGCGTTCATCAACTGTTAGTAAACCAGTAGTATATTAGAGAATTCTGTTTCTTATCATGGGAGCAACAGACAGAGGTAAGGCTGCGGGTTGGCTTCTCCGTTCACTGGTTTGACTCCCTTCCGCTCTCCCAGTTATTCAGGACCCTCAGCCCGACCACTCTTTTTATCACTGGCGCTGTTTGCAGTGGGCTTTTGCAAACAGTGCTGGAGATTGACAGGTGAAATAAGTGGGGCTAGGACGGAAAGATAAATACGTTAGGTTGAGAAATATTTTTAAAGCTTGAGCCCATGACCAATTGGGAAAAGCGGTATGTGTGTGAAATAGGGGAGGTGCTTGAGTTGAAGAAAATAGAAAATTTTATTCCTGCTCCTGTCTGGTGTAACTAATCAGAATTTAAGTGCATGAGAATTACACTGGCAAGAATCTAGTCTATTTACAATGAAAGAGAGTTATTTTGTAATAGAAAGAGTGATCTTGTTTACTAACAGCGTTTTGTTCTTTTTCAGTAGGTGACCACGGCTATGATAATTCTTTGCCTAGTATGCATCCGTTTCTAGCTGCCCACGGCCCTGCATTTCACAAGGGCTACAAACACAGCACGATTAACATTGTGGACATTTATCCAATGATGTGCCACATCCTGGGATTAAAACCACATCCCAATAACGGAACCTTTGGTCATACTAAGTGCCTGTTAGTGGACCAGTGGTGCATTAACCTCCCAGAAGCCATTGGAATTGTTATTGGTGCGCTCTTGGTCTTAACCATGCTGACAGGCCTCATAATCATCATGCAGAAAAGATACTCTGTACCCCATCCATTTTCCCGACTTCAGCTACAAGAAGATGATGATGACCCTTTAATTGGGTAATGTGCAGGGGTTTATACAAAGTGTCTTTGGTTAGTCACAAAACGAAGGATACACCCAAGGAATGGTGGTGTAACTACGAAGAAGTCTACTGTGGAAGACAAAGAACTTAGACGGAGCCTGCTAAAGTTATTTTGTTTCGTTTTTCCTTGTGTTTTGTTTTGGTGCATTAGCTAATACAAAAGACTCTGATCATAGTAAAAATTGCTAGTAAGTCATTAGTTAACACCAACTATCTCTCTAACTAGAAACATCTTTTTAAGAAAAATTCTGCCTCTGCCCTTTTTTTTGCAATGAAGATTTGACACATCTTTAGATAAAATATACCAAAATTTAGTAGGCATGCTTTTCTAATAAATTTTTATATTTGTAAATGAAACAACCGAAATCTTTATGCAACTAGTGGATTCTGTGTATCAGGGAGGAAAAGTTTCCTATATTTTTATATTTGTCTTTAATAGAGTTTGTATCCCAAGTAAACCCTGGAGGTAGGAAATTCTCTGTGATGGTTAATAGAACTGGTTAACCAGGCTGAAAAGATCTAGTATGGGAAGAAATTATTTTAAGAAAAGCTATTATAAAAAAACAAATGACGACCATGTGATACAGAGCCTGAGTCTTCACTGCTGTGTCTTTGTTAAGACCCTTTAGCTGTTGAAGACTCTAAAGTTTTATGTCTTGAAGATTATTGCTAATAATTAAGAAAATAGAGAAGAGTACTTTTCTCTGTTTGTGCTTAATGCCTTTGTGTAAGTTATTTAGTTGTGTGTGTGTGTGTGTGTGTGTGTGTACAGACTTTATGTGACTTAGAGGAGGTCAGGTGGCTTGGACTGTAGGCAGGTGTCCACATTCCCACTGAACACAGTTCTCAGGAAAGGTTGTATTTGCACTTCGTATTTGTTTACTTTCTTCTGACTCACAAGGTAAAATCATACTTTTAAAAAATGCAGTAATTTTTGTTACCTTTTTAACTTTCTCATGTTGTTTATTGTAACCAGAGATATCCAGGTGCTCCAGAAAAATTGATGACCTGGATACAAACCTGGTATCGATTGGGTCAGAAGGAGGAAGAGAGATTTTTATATTTATTTTTTGGACTTTTATGTGTTACAGGCAACACTTGAGTAGTTAAAGCTCCTGGAGTAGTTAAAGCTACAATGGAATTTGGTATCTTTTGATCTTTTACATTATTCATGTGGTAGTCGGTGGAATAAACTCTTAGCACTGGTGGAATAAACTCTTAGCACTCTGTTAACGTTCACTAGCCTGAGTGCTGCCTCTGCCTTTCTCTCCAGTATTTGGTTCCTAGAAATAATCCCCCTGCTCATGTTGTTTTTAACATACTTGTTCAGAGCCAAGGGTTTGTGGTAAAGAACTGTCATCCTACCTTTGCCAAGTGGTCCCTTCTAATAATCAAACTGAATGTGATGAACCTGAGTCGAGGCAGACTAGATTGTATCTATCAGAGGGAAAATTGGGCTCAAGAAGCATTCATCAGGACCTGAGGCAAGCAATTAATAGTGTGACCTTTAAAGTGTTGACAATATAAAATAAAGTAGGTAACTGTTTCGCAGATACAAAATAATCTACAGTACATATGCAGCCCCCTTAAAATGTTGTTTGTCCGTGAGAGTAAAGAACAGCGATGCCAGTCATCAGACATGTCAGTCATGCTAAATACTGCTGATTTCCTGACCCTGGTGTTTAGTGCCTATTGTATTTGGGGTTCTTGAGAAGCATTTCCACACCCTGTGTTAGTAGTCCATGCTGTTGGTCATAAGTTGGCTGTATTAAGAACAGCATAGTGAATAAATGAAATCAACCAATAGGACTAATGTTGCTTTTTGACAGATTTTATTTCTGATTGTTTTTCCTCACATAAAAATTATCCCAAAGGTTAATAGTTGATCTGAATGAAACAATGGAAAATTTCTTTCTACTTAAATTTCCATTGAAAAAGAAAGACAAAGAATAGACTAGTCCTGTTTAAAGCAGTGGACATTTCTCTGAAGTGTCTAAAATAGTAGCAGGATATTTCATATTAGTTGAGTAGAGTTTGATCCGTGAGTGGTGTTGAGTTTTAGTGATTGCATTAGCTTGATTGGTGGTTGTGAGTTTCAGAAATCTGTCTGTGGCATCCAGCCTGTGGGTGGATTTTGTCTAGCATGGGATAGGAAGGGAAGCCTGGTGAAAAGACATTTACCTGTTTGTCTTGTGTTTCATTCCATTCTCAAAATATTAACTCTAATTAAAATTGTAAAATTTTAATATATATGTTGATGGGACAAGAAAAGTATTTATTTAATCAAAGATGTTTATATATTGAATTTTATGTTAATTCATTTGTATCTTTAAAACATTATCACTGTACAGCCAATGACTCCTCTAGTGCACTGAGAAAATCTTTTAGTGAAGCCAGTGTTTTACATTAAGGTTGTGGTGTTTTGTTAAATAATTGACTAGTATGTATGCTGCTGTTTTCTGGGTGGCAGAAAGTGTTTGGTTCCAGAAACGTTTAACTGTTTATGGCACCAGTACTCAAAGGTAACAGGAGAACTTTTTATTAAGTGTTTTTGTAAATTCAGTGAGTGAATTCAGAAGAAGTGTTTACTTACAGGGATAGTCATTTCTGCTGCTGTTACTACTGTGCAAGTTCTGCTGGTAAACGGCAATAGAATAAAGTTAGTTCAATGCTCTGTACTATAGGCTTTGTAGTATTGTTCCGTGAAGCTTGGGATAAGAATTTAAGGATACATTTTTGTAACATTAAAGGAGTAAAAATGCCCGTGCGTTTTTCTTGGGTGTCTCCCTCTCTTGCCCATATCTGGTAAGCTTTAAGGATGATTGCATTTAATTCCTTTGATCTGGAGGGTTTTACTTCATTGTGAATACATAAAGCGACAAATGAAGGACAAAGATGAGATGGAAGTGTGTATTTATTGTCAATTCTTTAAATAGTGTATAAATAAAATGACATGAGTGTGCTTTAAAGACATTTGTATGTAGTGCCTTAAGTTGAATGTATTTTGACCATACTGTTTGAATTCATAGTTAACAACTTTGCTTATGATTAAAAAATTTTATGTGAGTAAAATCTACCAAAACGTTTTTACTGTAACTACTAAATATACAATGCCATGTCATTGATGATTTTTTAATTTGTCACCTTCTTGCAAAGTATACACATTGTCATGTTGACATGATTTAGTAATATTGCAAAAATCTATATGAGTATTCATTACAGATTTTTTTTAAACCAGGATTAAGTGTATAATATATAACCAAATTTTTAAGACGCTGTATAAATATACACTCCAGCATAAGGATATCACTAGAAAGAAAGCCAAGATAAATTTTGTAGAGCTTCCAGAACTATAATTTATTGGCATGCAGCAGACAGGAAGAAGTTTGAAAAAGCTGATTACAAAACACTAGGGGTCAGGGGCGGTTATAGTATTTAAACTTTGTTTTGCACATAGCCGTAAGTATTTAATGTCTTGTCCAGTATAGATTCAACGAAAGTTCCTCTAGTAGAGCAGTGATTCATTCACTTCCTACTTTTACATTCAGTGAACACTGCTAGGAACTGTGGGACAACAAAAGAATAAAAAGCACTTTACTCTGGAAAAGAGTTCTGTAGCATTTCAAAAGTGGCAAAACTTAATACCAACAAATGACTTCTGTCTGCTCATGGTTTATCTCTTGCTGCTGAGATCCTGGGATCCAGAACCATTTTCCAGGCCCTGTGCTTGCTTAAGTTTGGATGCCAGATTCACCACTTTCCCCCACCCCCAGCCTCCCTGGTACCTGTGCTTGGGTATCATTACAGTGCACCCCCGCACCCCCAACACACACAGCCACCGACAACCATTGCTTCAGAGCATATGTGAGAATCCAGATGAGCCTGTTGGGTGCTGGGGTCCTGTCACACATGCAAATGCTGATCGTAACATGCACACGTATAGTTCTGTATCCTAATGTGTGTGTGTGTGTGTGTGTGTGTGTGTGTGTGTGTGCAGGTGGTGGTTGGTGTTGAAACTGCTAGGTCCTATGACTCATGTCTCATGGCCAAAGTTATCTGGCCAAGGCTGAGTCTTACCCAGAGAGCAAGCCAAAGTTCTGTGTAGGCCTTCTACCTTTCCACATATCTTCTACCTCCCTGACTTCTGAAATCTGATTTCCACCATCAAAAAACTGAATCTAGTGAGCTTACCCACTGACAGCTCTTGATGATGATTTACAGAAAGATGACTCAGGTTCAGACCTGCCCACTGTGTTAGAGATCCGAATTGCCAGTGACCCAGTCAGCATTCTTTCATGTCTACCATGCCTCACTTCACTTTCATACACAGGGGTGGTGGAAAGAATCAATAGAAATTAACCCCAAACAATTCTAGACAACCCCACTATACAAGTACACATTTTATAAAGAGTTCCTGTAGGTCAGACCCAGGCGCAGTACTTTGGACTTACGTATTGTTTGGATTGTCCACTGAGGAGAGTGAATATGTGTTTTACACACAATTTCTGTGAAGTTGTTTTTTTTTTTTTTTTAAATTTAATCATGAAAGGACATGTAGGAGTTCTGTTTCCAGTAAAATGGTAGAGTATGTAATTCAAACTAATCCTCTTGCTGAGGACTAGAAAATCTGGACAACATAGAAAAGATCTGTGCTAAAGCCCTGAGGAATTACCAAGAAGTGAAGACCCAAGACGCCAAGATTTAGAAGAAGGAAGATAACCTGTAATACTGAGCACCTAAGGGCATCTGAATTCTGGAAGAGGCAGCTGAGAAGCTGGAAAGCTAACCTAACCAAAAAGTGTGTATGTGGGGCCGGGGGGCTGGGGGGAGTGGTAAGAGAGAAAACACAAATGTAAAAAAGAAAAGCAGAACACTTAAAAATCCTAAGAGCCTACTTTACACTATTTGATACAAATAAGGTTGAAAATACAGATGAAATGGATAATTAATTAGGAAAAATATTGAGCGAAGATTCCAGTAGAGAAAGAAAACCAAAACAAACCAATTTCTGTTTTAAAGATTGGGAAAGTTATAAACTCTTGTACAAAAAAGTATCAGGCCCAAAAGACAATTTATTTTAGTTCCTCTTTATCAGATTCGATCATTAATGCTATATTTGCCTTGTAAAAGTAGTGTTTTAGAAAAAGACATACATGAGTTTTTGAGGTGAACGTAACATTGATATCAAACCTAGTAAAGATAGCATCAAAAAAAGACCAACTTCAAATGGGGCGAGAAAAAGCAAAATGGAAAGTCAAATCTAACCGCATCAATAACTAAATGTAAATAGACTGAACATTCCAATTAAGTGGCAGAGATGTCTGATTGAATGAAAAAGCAAGATCCAGCCATATGTAGTCTACAAGAGACACGCTTTAAAAACAAGGCAAATTGAAAGCAAAAGGACAGAAAATGCCATACTATCCAAACGAACCGTCAGAAAGCTGGAGTACCTAGATTAACATCAGATAAAGCAGTCTTCAGGACAAGAATTTCCAGAGACAGAGAGGGACATTTCACAATGATAAAAAGGACCAATAGGAAGTCAACAATTCTAAGTGTTCACACCTGAAAACAGAGCTTAAAAGTTTGTGAACTCAAAAACTGATGGAACTAAAGAAAGAGAATCCATAAACATAAAGAATTTAGTACTCCTCTCAAGTAATTGATATGACAACCAGACCAAGGGGGAAAAAAATCAGTTAATGATGTAGAAAACCTGAGTGATGCTATCAACCACAGTGACCTAAATGACATTTAGAGATTACAGCCCCAATCTGCAGAAGACATTCTTTTCAGTGCACGTGGAATCCCATCACCAAGATAGATCATAAGCAGGGCCATAAACAAGTCTCAGTAAGTAATCTCAAAGGATTGTAATTTTACAAAGCATGTTTTCTGATGGCACTGGAACTAAATTAGATTCAGTAACAATAAGGTTTAGAAAAACCTTAAATATTTGGAAATTAAACAATACACTTCTAAATAGAAATCATAAAGTAAACGAGAAAATATATTTAAATTATAAAGAATTTATAATGTACCAACTTTTGTAGTATGCAGCTAAAGTAGTACTTAGAAGGAAATTTATATCCTTGAATGCCTGTGTTTGAGAGGTAGAAAGGTTCAAAATCAACGATTTAAGCTTCCAATTTAGGAAGCTAGTAAAAGTTGAAGAAAACAATCCAAAGTGAGTGGGAGGAAGGAAATAATAAAGATGAAATCAGAATCAATGAAGTAGAAAAGACAAATAGAAAAATTCATAAGGCAAAATTTTTTTTTAAACATGAGTAAAATACTGGGGCTGGCCCCGTGGCCGAGTGGTCGGGTTCACACACTCTGCTTCGATGGCCCAGGGTTTCGCCAGTTTGAATCCTGGGTGAGGAGATGGCACCGCTCATCAGGCCATGCTGAGGCGGCATCCCACATGCCACAACTAGAAGGACCCACAACTAAAAAGTACACAACTGTGTACCAGGGGGCTTTGGGAGAAAAAGGAAAAAAAATAAAATCTTTAAAAAAAAAAATTAGTAAAATCGATAAGCCCCAAACAAGACTTATTGAGAAAAAAGGGAGAGAGCACAAATTAGCAATATTAATAACAGAAGAGCCATCACTATAGATCCTATATATATCAAAAGGATATTGAGGAAATATTATGCCAATACATTTGATAATTTAGATAAAATGGACAAATTCCTTGAAAAATAGAACTCATCAAAACTGATACAAAATCAACTAGAATATCTTAATAGTCATATATCAGTCACAAAAATTAATTTATCAAAATCTCCAAGTCTAGGTGGTTTCACTGATTAGTTCTATCACATATTTAAGGAAGAAATGATTTTACACAAACTCTTACAGAAAACAGAGGAAAACAGAACACATCCTAATTGGTTTTATGAAGCCAGTATAACACTGGTGTCAAAATCTGACAAAGATATTAAAAGAAAAGTCATAGACCAATACCCCTATGAACAAAAATTCCATCACAAAATATTATCTAATTGAACACAGCAGTGTTTCAAAAAGATAATATACATAAACAAGTGGAAATTATCCCAGGAGGGCAACATTAGTTTGTTATTTGAAAATCAATCAGTTATACTTCATATTAATAGGATAAAAATAAAGGAAAACAATCATGTTAATAAATGTAGAAAAAGCATTTGGCAAAATTCAATACCTATTTGTTATTTAAAACAAAACAACTCACCAAATTTGGAAGAGAAGGAAATTTCGATCTGATAAATTGATACACACACACATATATAAATGTGTTTGTGTGTATATATATATATACAGGCCACAAACCTACAGCTAATATACTGAATCAAAATATCATAACCCTACTGCTAACAGGCTGAATGGCGAAATAGTAAATGTTTTTCTCCTAAAATCAGCACAAGGCAAGGATGTCCATTTTCATCACTTCTATTTAACATTATACTGGAGGTCCTAGCAAGTGCAATAAGGCAAGAAAAAGAAATAATATAAGAACTGAAAAATAATAAAACTGTCCTATTCACAGATAACATGAGTTGCATACACAGAAAATCCAAAGGAATCAGACAACTAGAAATAAGTTCTACAAAACTGCTGGATATAAGGTCAATATGTAAAAATCAAGTGTATTTCTATATAGCAGCAGAAAATGAAATTTTAAAACTGGTATCATTTACATTGGTATCAACAAGCACAAAATATCTAAGTCTAACAAGATAAATGCAGAACGTTTGCACAGAAAATTATAACATTGAGAGGAATTAAGAAACACCAAAATAACAGAAGGCTATATCATGTTTATAGGTTGGAAGATTCTATATTGTAAAGATGACGTTTCTCCTCAAACTGATCATTGCATCCAAGCAATTCCAGCAGGGTTTTATTTATTTTTTATGGAATTGTATAAGCTGACTCAAATTTATGTAGAAATGCAAAGGGCCAAGATGATCTTGAAGGAAAATAAAATGATAGGACTTATTCTATCAGAGGTCAAGAACTATCATAAAGTTATAAGAATTAAGACAGTATGGTGTTGACACAAGGATAGACAAACAGAGAAAGAGTTGA